ACCTGGTGACCCCCCGAACGACGCCGCGCTCCCGCGCCCTCGGCGGAGGCGGCGGCGGCGTCGGGCTCGGGCTCGCTCTCGGCGACCTGATGAAGGAGCCCAGGACATGCACGTGGACGGCCATCCCATCGCGCTGCTCGACCTCAAGCCTGCTGGTGCGAGCGCGGGCGATCCCGCTGGCGAGGGCGCCTCGGAGGACGACCCGCTCGACGACAGCTGGGCCGACGGCCTGCGGCGTGCGCCTACGGGCGCGGCGGCCGCGGCAGCAGACGGAGGCAGGGACGACAAGAACAAGCGCCTCCGCGTCGATGCAGCTGGTGGCGCGGCGGGGTTGCAGGTGGCGCTGGCCGCGGAGCTCGGGGCCCTGGCCTCGAAGCTCGGCACGGCGCCTGGCGACCTGCGCGGGCTCTTCGAGGCCGCGACGACCAGCCACGCGGAGTTCACCGAAAAGGAGGCGGGGCTGCTGGGGCGGCTCGCTGGCCTCTTCGATTGAGCTCCTGGCGCGTGCGCGCGCGTTGGTTCAAGGGTCGGCCTTTGGCGAAAGCCAGCTGGTCGGCCTTCGCGCTCGGCCTCGCTGTCGGGCGCTCCACGGCTCGCCGAGACGGACGGCCCGCCGCGCAGTGTTCTCGCTCCTCGTCCTCCTCCCCCTCCTCGTCTCCTCGTCGTCATCGTCATCAGCAGCAGCAGCATCATCATTATCATCATCACCACCACCACCACCACCATCATCATCATCATCGTCGTCGTCGTCGTCGACGTCGACGTCATCATCATCATCATCATCATCATCATCATCATCATCATCAGCATCATCATCATCATCAGCAGCAGCAGCAGCATCATCACCAGCATCATCATCATCAACATCACCACCACCACCACCATCATCACAATCATCATCATCATTATCATCATCATCATCATCATCGTCGTCGTCGTCGTCATCATCATCAGAAACAGCAGCATCTCCGCCTCCACTGCAACAATTATCATCGTCGTCTTGATCATCATCATCATCATCATCATCATCATCATCAGCAGCAGCATCATCATCATCAGCAGCAAGAACAACATCAACAACATCAACATCAGCATCAACATCATCATCATCATCATCATCATCATCATCATCATCATCATCGTCATCAGCAGCAGCAGCATCATCAGCATCAACAGCAGCATCATCATCAGCATCATCATCAGCAGCAGCATCATGATCATTATTATCGTCGTCGTCATTCTCGTCGTCATCGTCGTCATCGTCATCAGCATCCTCATCAGCAGCCTCATCAGCGTCATCATCAGCATCAGCATCATCAGCAGCAGCAGCATCAGCAGCAGCATCAGCATAAGCATCATGATAATCATCAGCATCATCAACAACAACATCATCATCATCACCATCATCATCATCATAATAATCCTCATCATCATCCTCATCATCATCCTCATCATCATCATCATCATCATCATCATAATCATCATCAACAACATCATCGTCGTCGTAGTCGTCGCCATCGTCGTCGTACTCGTCGTCGTCGCACCGTCATCATCAGAAGCACCACCATCATCGTCATCGTCATCATCAGAATCACCGAAACAACCACCACCAACACCATCATCATCAGCATCAGCATCATCATCATCATCATCATCATCGTCATCATCATCATCACCATGAGCATCATCATCATCATCATCATCATCATCATCATCATCATCATCATCATCATCATGGTCATAATCATCATCATCATCAATGTCATCATCACCAGCATCATCATCATCAAAATCATCAGCAGCCGCATCAGTATCATAATCGGCATCATCAGCATCAGCAGCAGCATTATCAGCATTGCCATCATCATCATCATCATCATCATCATCATCATCATCATATGGGTCATCATCAACATCAACATCAGCATCATCATCAGCATCATCATCATCAGCAGCATCAGCATCGTCATCAGCATCATCATCACAATCAGCATCACCATCATCATCGACAGCATCATCCTCAACATCATCATTATCATCAGAATCGTCATCAGAGTCACCATCATCATCAGCATCAGAATCATCAACGTCACCATCATCATCATCAGCATCATCAACAGCATCATCCTCATCAGCATCATCATCATCAGCACCACCACCGTCATCATCATCAGCAGCAGCACCATCATCATCATCAACAGCAGCAGCATATCATCGTCATCATCATCATCATCATCAGCATCATCATCATCATCATCATCATCATCATCATCATCATCATGCTCGGGCCGCGCCGCCGCCGCCGCGGCCAGGGTTTTGGCTGGCTGCGCCCGCCGAGGGAGCGCGGGCCAATGTTCGCGCCCCCCTCTGCGCGTGGCTATGATCATCGCCCGAAGCGCGTGGCCGCCCCCGAAGCGAACGCGAGCTCAGCGCTGCCGCCGGCCTGCTGCAGCTGGTCCCGCTCCGCCATCCCCCGCGAGAGCAGCTCGTCCACAGCGGC